CTCTCCTCTCTCTCTCTCTCTCTCTCTCATTTTTGAGTCACACCCCATGATGCTCAGGGATTATTCCTGGCTCTGCACTCAGGAATTACTCCTGGCATTACTCAGGGGGCCCTATGGGATGCTGGGGATCGAACCCGGGTGGGCTGCGTGCAAGGCAAACACCTTCCCCGCTGTACTATTGCTCTGGCTATTGGGTTGCATTTTCAAATACTTTGACTGACCCAGAGGGATGGTGAATTCGGGTGCTTTCAATGCATAAGATTCCTCTTCCAGAAGAATAATATGTCACCTTCCTCCTCCTCCCCCTCTCCTACACCCCTCTACAAGCAGGCAAGGCTGTACAACACAGGAAAGTTCACGAACGTTCCAGGTTTTGTTTGTTAAACCCGCGCCGTGACCTTTGGGAACGGGCAGGTTCAGCCGGGAGTGTGTTGGCCCCCAAATAATGGAACGGTTCTGGTATTGTTATTGATTTTCTCCCTCCCTCCATCCCCCGCAGTCAAAACTCTTAACAATTCCCCTGCTCGAACATTAATTACCGCGTGTTCGTCGGTTTGTTTTTCCTGCCAACCGAAATGCCGCGGAGGAGAAGGTCATGCCATGTGTTTCTGATTTGTTGCGCTGGCTGAGAAATGCTTCAGTATCTCCGCCGCACTGGAGCCAATGGGCCGTTACTGTCCACTGAGCATCACAGGGACACACACACATACACACACACACACACACACACACACACACACCCCAGGCGTGTGTCTACCAAGGGGGTCAGACAGGATTGACTGTCAGCCCTCGATGAACACAAGGGCAGTTTGCAAGACAGTCTCTTACCTGCTCCCCATTCTCCTTTCACGCTGGGGACGCCCCACGGAGGGGGCATGAAAGGAGCAGAAGCCTCTGTAATTCTCTAGAAGTCTCTAGAAGTCCCTGGCTTCCATAGCTTTCCCATCCAGGCCGAGAACGACATCATGTTTTAAGAACCAGTTGAGGGAAGAAGGGCCAGAGATAGAATACAGCAGGGAGGGCACTTGCCTTGCACATTGCTGACCTGGGTTTGATCCCCTGCATGCCGTAAGTGCCCCCAGCCCACCAGGGAATCACTCCTGAGTGCAGAGACAGGAGTAAACCCAGAGTGTTGCCTGGTGTGTCCCAAGCAATATCCACCACCCCCCACCACCACACACACACATATATATATATATATACATGCACGCATGCGCGTGCGTGCACACACACACACACACACACACACACACACACAGGAGTGGAGCCAGAGTGATAGTCCAGGGGGTAGAGCATTAGCCTGGCACACAGCCAACCCAGGGATCCCTCTGGGGGGTGCTCAGGGGACCCTAGAGGATGCTGGGATCAGGATCAAACCTGAGTTGGCCACATGCCAGGCTATCACCCCCCGCCCCGCGGGAGCAATTTGTTTGTTTGTTTGTTTTTGTGGTCACATCAAGAGGTAAGTGAAGGAGAAAGGAGGATCTGGCATCTGGCGAGAGTTATTTTGAGCCCAGGGCTGAATCCAAGGCCAGCTACCCTCCCGTCCCCAGGGAGGCCAGTGCCGGGTGGGTGAGGGGGCCTGAAGGAGTGCATGCTTGAGGTGCTAAACACCTGTTGGGGGGATGAAAATCCCTGAAAGAGGGGCTGGAGCAATAGCACAGAGGATAGGGCGTTTGCCTTGCACGCGGCTGACCCAGGTTTGATCCCCAGCATCCCATAGGGCCCCCCGAGCACCGCCAGGAGTGATTCCTGAGTGCAGAGCCAGGAGTAGCCCGAGCATCGCCGGGTGTCACCCAAAAAAGAAAAGAAAGAAAAAGTCCCAGAAAGGGTGGGCAATGCGCCAGTCCTCACCATCACGCTGGGGAAGGATGTGAAGTGTGACTTGTTCCCCCCCCCAGAAGTGCCAGAAACGGAAGGAAGATGCCAGGTGCTGGCATTTCAGTAGCAGAGAAAAGTGAATGAGAGCAGCCCTCCTCATTCAGGAGGTGGTTCCATGGCAGAATAATATATTTTTAATATATAGGGCCAAAGGAGCTGGAGTGAAGGAACAGGAAATGAGAACACACTTGCAGGGACCCGAGGAGATAGCACAGCGGGGCGGGTGCTGTTCTTGCACACGGCTGACCCGGGTTCGATCCCTGGCTCCCCATAGGGTCCCCTGAGCCCCACTGCGAGCGATCCCTGAGCACAGAGCCAGGAGCAACGCCAGGTGTGGCCCCCAGGAACAGAACAAAAACCAAACCCAACCCAAGAAAAGACTCTGGCCTTGCATGGGACCGACTCTGGAGGTCCAATCCATGGTACGACAGCAAAAGTGGATTCTGCTAAGCTGGTGGGTTCTTGAGAATTGTCTGAGAGATTTGCATGGTGGGGGGTTGGGGGGAGGGCAGCTAGGATAGAGAAGAAGCACTGTGCCAAAGAGAGTTGGAAAGGATTGCTCTGGACAAGAACTGTGTGCTGAAAGGCGGGAAAGGAACAAATATAACCTGTCAGTACCTTTTATTACAGACCAGAATGCCCAAAAGGAGGGGGGAGGAGGAGGAGGAGAAGAAGAAAGATGGGGAGGAGGAGGAAGAGGGGGAGGAGGAAGGAGAGGGGGAAGAGGGAGGAAGAGAAGGAGGAAGAGGGGAAGGAGGAAGAGGAGGGGGAGTAGGAGGAGGGGGAAGAGGGGGGAGGAGGAAGGGAGAGGGGGAAGAGGAGGAAGAGAAGGAGGAAGAGGGGAAGGAGGAAGAGGAGGAAGAGGAGGGGGAGTAGGAGGAGGGGGAAGAGGGGGAGGAAGAGGGGAAAGAGGAAGAGGAGGAGGAGGGGGAGGAGAAAGAGGAGGAGGAGGGGGGAGGAGGAAGAGGAGGAGGAGGAGGGAAAGGAGGAGGAGGAGGAAGAGGAGAAGGAAGAGGAGGAGGAAGGAGGAGGAGGAAGAGGAGGAGGAGGAAGAGGAGGAGGAGGGGAGGAGGAAGAGGAGGAGGAAGAGGAGGAGGAGGGGAGGAGGAAGAGGAGGAGGAGGAGGAGGGTGAGGAGGAGGAGAGGAGGAGGAATAATAATAATAATGAGGGAAACTGGGGTCATTGGTGGTAGGAAATGTGCAGGGTGAAGGGGCGGTGTTGGAACACTGTATGACCGAAACCCAATCCTGAACAGCTTTGTAACTGTGTATTTCGAGGTGATTCAATAAAAAAGAAATAAAGTAGGGGTGAGCGGCCACAGTCCTGACCTTGAGAAAATGCTCTGCTCCATAGAAGCCTTTTTTTTTTTTTTAAATTACTTGCACAGCACGGGCTAAAGTCAAATCTCTTTCCGCCTTTGGCAGGGATCAGGGGGTTCTTCCCTCCCCCACTCCTGGTACTCTCTGTGCCTGGTGAAAGTCACCTGGTCCCATCACCTGTCACCCTCTCTGATCGCCAGAGGGTGCTTGGCGGGCGGCTTTCCCCGGAGCTCAGAGTGAGTTGAGAAATAAAATGTGCCCCAGAGAGCATGTCCCTGGGCAAGGGCAGGTGTGCAGACACTGTGCAGTGCTTCTGGGGAATCAAAGGTGTGGTGCAAAGACCCCCTGAGCATCGAGCCGGGAGTCAGCCCCAAGCTCTCAGCCACTGGCTGTCACCCAAATAAAACAAATGGAAAAGGTAGTTTGCGGGACTAGAACAATGATAGCACAGTGGAGAAGGCGCTGGCCGTGTGTGCAGCTGGGCCAGGTTCGATCCCGGTATCTCATAGGGTCCTCTGAGCCTGTTAGAAGTGATCCCTGAGCACTGCCAGGTGGGCCCCCCCCACCAAAAAAAAAAAAAGACCAAAAAATAGCAGTTTGTTGATCAAGAACATGGAGGTGCCCAGCGAGAACCCCACCACCTTGGTAGTTTTGCAAAACCAACGTGGGGTTTGGCATCCACCCATCACAGACCCAGGGCTGGATTCATGGAGGCGAATCCATGGAGGAAGAGAAACAGCCGCTAAGAATGTTTATGATGGGGACCAGAAAGATAGTGGAGCAGGGAGGGTGTTTGCCTTGCATGTGGCCGACCAGGGTTCCATCCACGGCATCCCATAGGGTCCCCCCAGCACCGCCAGGAGTGATTCCTGAGTGCAGAGCCAGGAGTCACCCCTGTGCAGGACCCATTGTGACCCAAAAAGCAAAAAAAAAAAAATGACTACATCTGGCCGGCAATGGCTAGACTGGAGTTCCAGCGAGAGACCATTTGAACCCAGGACTTTCTCCTGGAGCCGAAAGATTGGTCTTTTTCTGGAGAGCGATGGGGTGAAGGGGTTGTGTGGATTACACCCAGCAATTCTCAGAGCTTCCTCCTGGCTCTGCGCTCAGGGATTCCTCCTGGTGGTGCTCAGGGGACCCTATGGGATGTCGGGGATTGAACCTGGGTTGGCTGTGTGCAAGGCAAACGCCCTCCCCGCTGTGCTATCGCTCCAGTCCCTGAAAGAGGAGTTTCTTTCTCCTTACTCACTTCTCCATCCTTTTTCTCTCCACCACCCAGCAGAAAGGACCTCCTCTCTGGGGGCTGGAAATGCGAGAAGGTGACTCTTTCTCTTTTTTTTTTTTTTTTTTTTTTTTGCTTTTTGGGTCACACCTGGCGATGCACAGGGATTACTCCTGGCTCTGCACTCAGGAGTTACTCCTGGCGGTGCTCAGGGGACCGACCATATGGGATGCTGGGGATCGAACCCGGGTCGGCTGTGTGCAAGGCAAATGCCCTACCTGCTGTGCTATCTCTCCAGCCCCCAGGTGACTCTTAAAGATTGCTCACACTACAAGTTTCCCCACCCAAGCAAGTAGACTGGGACATGAGCAGGTCTGCATAGACCAGGGCCTGCCTGTGGAGACGGCGCCCTCCACCCCAGCCCATCCCCCCGAGTCCCACCTGACGGGTATGTCTCGACCCGCCGGAGCTGGGGGTGTTTGAAAGCCGTGGCTCACCCCGTGTTCTCTCTCTCTCTCTCTCTCTCTCTCTCTCTCTCTCTCTCTCTCTCTCTCTCTCTCTCTCTCTCTACTGCAGGACGGAATGGGGAATCTGAGGATCACAGACAAAGGCCTCAGGCTCGAGGGAGATTCCGAGTTCTTACAGCCGCTCTACGCCAAAGAAATCCAGTCTCGACCCGTAAGTCTCTGCTGGGGGTGGGGAAGCAGGGCTCACCTCCTGCAGCCCCCCCACCGCCCGCCCGTGGCCATTGGTTGGGGTGGTACGTCTCTAGCTCTCGGCTGCATGTGTATGGCTGGGGTGTGGGGGAGGAGGCGGGCGTGAAGGTCTGGTGAGCAGACGTGATCCCATCGGAACCTGCTTCCTAAACGCTGTCGATGGGCTGGCTTGGAGATACTCAGGGGCTCAAAAATGGTCCAGAGGCAACAGACATCACCATCACTAGTCCAGAGTGATAGGACAGTGGGTAGGGCATTTGCCTTGCATGCAGCCGACCCGGGTTCGATCCCCGGCATCCCATAGGGTACCCCCCCCAGCACCGCTGGGAGTGATTCCTGCATGCAGAGCCAGGAGTCAGCCCTGAGCATCGCTGGGTGTGACCCCCAAAAGCCAAACCAACCAAACAAACCTCACCATCGAGTTGGAGTTCTCCCAAAGCCGCTCTCTGCAAACTCCAAAGGGAAGAGAGAGAAAAGCACCTTTTGCGGGGCCCAGAGTGACAGGACAGCAGGGAGGGCACTCGCCGTGCCTGCGGCCATCTGGGGTTTGGTCCCCGGTATCCCATAGGGTCCCCCCTAGAACCACCAGGTTTTCTTAGTTTTCTTTGATCCATGAGCACAGAGGCAGGAGTCAGCACTGGGCATTGCCACCAATGTGGCCCTTTGGCTAAGTGCTAGTCCAGGATCCCAGCCGTGCTGGATGTGGTTTCAAGGTCCCCTCTTTGTGGTGCTACCTGTCCCCCTCACCGGGGGGGGGGGCTGTCCCCGGGATCTTCACTAGTTCCCTTCACAGATGGAATCGTGGGGGGCCGTGGGGGGTGGCCTGTCTTTGTTTTGTGAAAGGAACAGGACTTGGAGCCGACTCATGAAGGAGTGAGGCCGCCCGGGGTTGTGGCTCGTGGACAGATGGCCCTGGGGAGCCAGTTCTCTTGTCCAGAGCGTCCCCTCATCCTGCGCGCAGCCATGAAGCTGGCGTTCCTGCGTGCCACCTCTTACCCATTCGTCAACATGAAACTTTCTGTTTTTGATTTGGGGAACACACATCCGGCTGACTCCTGGCTCTTCACTCAGGGATCACTCCAGGTGGTCTTCACGGGACTCTAAGGGATGCCGGGGATCGAACCCAGGTCAGGCACGTGCAAGGCAAGGCCCCTCAACATGGATTTTTTAAAAAATTTTATTGAGATTCTCTGGTTTACAGTGCTACTATTAATGGTTGCTCACACACATAATTCCATCCATACACACCCATCTCAGTTTACCCCTCTCTCTCTCCCAAGGACCCCAAAACTCCTCCCTCCTAAGCCCCCTCCATCTCAGTTGTGTGGCTCAGTTCTCCCACTGTGTTGCCTCTGACCCTGGGTTGCTCCCTGACTGTGAATCTTTAAGTCCCTTAAGAATGAGATTGCCCTGGGTCTACCCCCTTTTCCTTCTAACTTCACTCAGCGTAATTTGCCTCTAGTTCCATCCATGCTGCTGCACCTTGCGTGATTTTGTTCTTCTTTAGAGCTGCATAGTATTCCACTATATCTGTTGACACCATTTGGATGGTCAGGTATTCGGTTGTGCTCGTATTGTGGCAGTTGTACTCCATGCCACAATGAACACGGGTGTTTGTATGTGGATTCTGAGCATCACCGGGTGTGAACCAAACCCACCCCCTGTCCCCGTACCTCTCCCCCAAAATGGGCAAAGAGTGAAGCATGTGCATGGGGCAGCCACACAGATCACGGCCCCAGGGTCTTGAAGGGCCAATTTGAGGACACTGTGATAGGGGTTGGGGGTGTCTCTTGCCTGGTGCCTGCCTCTTGGCCCCTGTAACTGGCCACCAGTATACTCAAGGTTCCATGGGGGACGGGAAGTTGAGTGCAGTGTGGAGGTTTGGGGCATTGGCCAGTGCCATCCTCCTCCTCTGTGCCCCCACTTACGCGGGTCCCACCGACAGGCCACTGCCTTTTGAGTCTGATTCACACTCCACCCTCGGAGCCAAAGCAAATGGGAAAGGCATCTCCCTCCCTCTCTCCCTCTCTCTCTCCTTCTCTCCCTCTCTCTCTCTTCCCCTCTCTCTCCCTTTCTCTCTTCCTCTCTCCCTCTCTCCCCCCTCTCTTTCTCTCTTCCCCCTTTCCCTTTCTTCCTCTCTCTTCCTCTCTCCCTCTCCCCCCTCTTCCTCTCTCTCCCTCTCTCTCCCTTTTCCCCCTCTTCCTCTCTCCCTCTCTCTCCCTCTTCTCCCTCTTCCTCTCTCTCTCCCTCTCTACTTCTCTCTCTTCTATCCTTCCCTCTCTCCCTCTCTCTCCCTCCCTCTTCCCCTCTCTCCCTCCCTCTCTCCCTATCTCCTCTCCCTATCTCTTCTCTCTTCTCTCTCTCCTCTTTCTCTATCCCTCTCCCCCTCTCTATCACTCCCTCCCTCTCCCTCTCACTTTTCTCTCCCTCTCTCTTCTCTCTTTCTCTCCTCTCTCCCTCTCCCTTTCTTCTCTCTCCCTCTCCTCTCTTCTCTCTCTCTCCTCACTCTCCCTCTCTTTCTTCTCTCTGTCTCTCTCTGTGTCTGTGTCTGTCTCTCTCTCCCCTCCTCCCCAGCGACCCACCGGGGCATCCAGACCACCCTGCATGATGCAGATGCACCCCCACAGCCCAGTCAGCCTGAGAAGTGGGGGAGGGCGCCAGGCTGGTTTCCTTGGGGCTCTCGGGTTGGCCCCACAAGGAGGAAGAGAAAACAAAAGCCAGGAAGGTAACTTCGCTTGGGCACAGACGATCGGCTTTAATCGGCCCCGATTATGCTGCTCATATTGCATGAAATTAAAAAGCTTACAAACGTTCTGAGCCATTACCCTTCCATCCAAGACAGCTTATGACACGTTAGCAGCAGTTAATGAAATTCCTTCCCAAATGCCATCGGCAGACGCGCGTGAGCTCCGATGGGTAGGAGAAACTTCCTTTTTCTTCCTTTTGAAGCCACACCCTGGTGGTGCTCAGGGCTGACTCCTGGTTCTGTGCTCAGGGATCACTCCTGGCGGGGCTGGGGTGGGGGTGAGGGACCCTATGGGATGGTCGGGGATTGAACCCGGGCCAGTTGCATGCAAGGGAATAGTGCCTGCTGTACTATTGAAAGTTTCCCATAGTACCTGCTGTAGTATTGAAGCTTTTCAGTAGTACCCACTGAACTAGTGAAACTTTGTTCTCTCCATGCCCTGCCTGAGTTGGGGGGTGTGGGGTGCAGTGCCAGCCCCCAGGGACACTCTCATTAGGCTGGTAGAGGGTGGGATACGGGTGTAGAAAACTGTTCCTCCCCTGATCTGAGGGATTGTCAGCCGAGAAGAGAGCTGGAGATAGATAAAGCAGAAGACTAACATCCATGGCTGGGAAAAGTAGGGGTCAGGAGGACTGGTCAGTGGTTGGAACTGACCACAAGGGTGTGTGTGTGGGGGGAGGGTACGTGAGATAGAGAAGGGACCAGAGTGACAATAATAGTTGGGAATGGTTACGCTGGACAAGAGCTGAGTGTTAAAAGTAGGGAAGGGGATTTTCTTTCTTTCTTCCGTTCGTTCTTTCTTTTTTTATTAGTGAAACACCATAAGGTACAACTGTAGACTTACAAACTTTCGTGCTTGGGTTTCAGTTATACAATGATCGAGTACCCATCCCTCCACCAGTGCCCATTCTCCACCACCAATGATCCCAGTAGCCCTCCCCCCCCCATCCCATCCCCCCGTCCCACCCTGCCTCTGTGGCAGGGCATTCCCTTTTGCTCACTCTTTCCTTTAGGGTGTTGTAGTTTGCAATAGAGGTATTGAGTGGCCATCGTGTTCAGTCTAGAGTCTACTCTCAGCACACATCTCACATCCCAAGCGAGTCCTCCAAACATCCTTTACTTGGTGTTCCCTTCTCTCTCTGAGCTGTCTTTTCCCCCAGCATGTGCTGCCGGCTTCCAAGCCCTGGAGCAGACTTCCTGGTACTTATCTCAACTATTCTTAGGTGTGACTCCCATTCTGTTACTTTATATTCCCCAGATGAGTGCAGTCTTTCTGTGTCTGTCCCTCTCTTTCTGGCTCATTTCACTTAGCATGCTACTTTCCAGGTAGAACCACTTGTATGTAAATTTCATGATTCATCTTTTCTAGGGCTGGAACGATAGCACAACGGGTAGGGCATTTGCCTTGCACACAGCCAACATGGCTGACCCGAGTTCGATTCCTCTGCCCCTCTTGGAGAGCCTGGCAAGCTACCGAGAGTATTTCGCCCGCACGGCAAAGCCTGGCAAGCTCCCCGTGACGTATTCGATATGCCAAACACAGTAACAACAAGTCTCACGATGGAGATGTTACTGGGCCCGCTCAAGCAAATCAATGAACAACAGGAGGACCGTGACCGTGACCATCTTTTCTAACAGCTGCATAGTATTCCATTGTGTAGATGTACCAAAGTTTCTTTAAACAATCATCTGTTCTCAGCTACTCGGGTTTGGGGAAGGGGATTTTCTTGATAACCTTTCCGTATCAATATTGCAAGCTACAATGGCCAAAAGTAGAGAGAGGGAGAGAGAGAGAGAGAAGGGAGAGGGGATTAGAGAGGGAGAGAGAAGTGAGGAAGAGGAGAGAGAGAGAGAAAGAGAGAGAGAGAGAAAGAGAGAGAGAGAAGAAAAGCACCTGCCATAGAAGCAGGCAAGGGGTGGGGGGTGATGGGAGGGAACCTGGAGACACTGGTCCTGGGAAATGTACCCTGGTAGAGGGATGGGTGTTGGAATACTCTATGACTAGAACCAAATCATGAACAGTTTTGTAAGGGTCTGTCTCACAGTGATTCAATGAAAAAGTTTTAAAAATGTATTTAAAAACAAAAAAAAAAAAGGACTGCCTGTGAATCTATAAGTTGGCTAAACCCCCTCTCAGCAAAGCTGCTGTACTTGTGGGGGAATTAAAAGCACTCTAGCAAACATTCCAGAACATTCCAGAATGTTCCAGAATATCA